CTAAAGGAAGCTGAAATTAGCACAAAGAAGGTGAAATGAGCTAAAGGAAGCTGATACTAGCACAAAGAAGCTGAAATGAGCTAAAGGATGCTGAAAATAGCACAAAGATGCTGAAATGAGCTAAAGGAAGCTGAAATTAGCACAAAGAAGCTGAAAATGAGCTAAAGGAAGCCGATACTAACACAAAGAAGCTGAAACGAGCTAAATGAAGCTGAAATTAGCACAAAAAAGCTGAAATGAGCTAAAGGAAGCTGATACAACACAAAAAAGCTGAAATGAGCTAAAGGAAGCTGAAATTGGCACAAAGAAGCTGAAATGAGCTAAAGGACGCTGATACTAACACAAAGAAGCTGACATGAGCTAAAGCAAGCTGAAATTAACACAAATAAGCTGAATGGAGCTGAACCAGCACAAAAGCTGAAATGAGCAGTAAAAGGTTGCACAAAGTGTTTGAAGGATGGGGAGAGCTCCATTCATTTCCAAAGAGAACAACATGGCTGAAAAAGCCAAATATTTAAAAAAGTAAAAACTGCTCATCATTTACCAAACATCACAGCAGGAACGTCCTGAACAAGCTGAACGCTTTGATATATGAACTGCTGAAATGGCACAAATATTGTTCTCGTTGTGTCTTGGTGCAATGATAATAAAGCTTATTCTGATTCTGAATATTGCAGAATGAGTTACGTGCCGAAAAACGTACGGAAGAAAAAGGGATCCCCATTTAGTCTCAACACGACCAACTTCAACTCTACTCGATTTACTCGATCTACTCAATCTACTCGATCTACTCGATCTACACGATCTCGTGTTTTTCAATCCAAAATGTTGCGTTCGAGTCCAGGCTGCTTCTCCTTTGCTGGTCTGAGTCTGCAAATCAAGTCCACGTGGTCCAGTCTCGTCTGGATTCTACTGTTAACTGACACACAGAAACATCTGCACCTCCTCTACCTCGGTGTTGGTTTACAGTTTAGGAGTTTAATGGATTTTTTTTTTTTTTTAATGGAATGCTGCGGTTACAAGGTTTTAAAAATGGTGGGTTTGATCCTCAAGATGTTCACGATTGAGCATCTGTTAAACCTTCAGCTCGACTCGCTTGGAACCAAGTAGGTCCTGAGAGCCGATCTGGAAGCTGGTGAGATCGCCCGATGGAAAGACTCTGAACTGGCACCGAGTCGAGCCCACAGCGCCGTCCGTGTTGTGAACGACTCTCAGCTACTGCATCAATAATTGACCGAGTTACAGCCGTTCCCGTGTTGGTTAAAGTTGATCAGCCGTGGCGGCCATCTTGAATCAGACCGACTTCAAAAGTGCATTCAATGATTACTTTCTGAAAGTTTCAGTAGTTTGTGAGATGTTTTGCTAACAGCATAAAATAAAATAAATGGAACACACACACAGACAAAACATTATTTCCCTTCCGCCCTCCGGAGCAGATGATAAAAATCGCTGTGACTCAGTCATTTTTCAGATATTGAGCTTATACTGGGTGTGGTAGCAAGTGAGTCGATCACAACACACAGACTGAGTTCTAACTCATTTTTGTTTAAAACTTTGGCATATAAGGTGGTGCTAAATATGTATTCCTTCAATTAATACATTTTTCTGTTTATTTTGTAAATTGGCATCCATCTTGAAATGCACATATTGTATTTTCTCCATACTTTTCTCCCCGATGTACGTTTACTTTATAAAACTCTTTACAAGTGGCCATTTTTAAAAAGGTAACATTGCTTTTTTCAATCCGCTCAATTATTCTACATTTAATATAAAAACAGTCTGTTTGTGTTGATTTCAACAGTAAATTAAAAAAAAAAATACAGCACTGTGTTCTGCTCACGTCCAAACACCTCCAAAAGTTGAAGTTGACCTCTTGAACAATGAACAAATCTTTACAGATGATTAAAAAATACAGGGGGGGTCACGTCGCTTAAACGCATTGTGCGACAACAGGAAGGTGGAAATCTGTGCACAGACGAGCGACTGTGAGCAGATATGGTGGAGCAGGTGCAGCTGTGCTGAAAGGCTCCCATAGAAAAGACAAGTTGTGTTATTTCGCCCTGAAGGTCCTGCAGGAAGCCGGCGCGGGTGCTTTTTTAACCTTGGCAGATTTATTACACATTCTGGACCGAGCTTCATGCCCACATAATAAAAGCTGCAGAATAATGAGCCTTCAACATGTAGCAAGACAGATGATAAACACTATTCATGAAGTCTACATTCATTTTTAGTTTTGCTTTTGTTTGTTGTGACAGTGCGTTTCTGCAGAGGAGCCAGACTGATCGTTTACCCTGCAGCAGCTTTTTGGATTTAGTGCCACGCTGCAGGGCGTTTTATACGTCGCCAGAAGCCCAATGAATAAAAAACCTGAACTTGTTGTTTTAATACTAGACAGAAAACTCTAAAAAAAAAAAAAAAAAAAAGTCTGTGTATTATTTTAAATAATGTCTGTGTGTTGGTGTTCAAGTGCATGTCTGTTAACAAAATATCTCATGAACCACTTGAAGGATTTTACTAAAACTTGCAGGAACTAATTACAGAATGTGGTTTTAAAACGGATTAACGTTTGGAATCCACTCGATTTAAGATGGCTGCCACAGCTAAGCTACATTAGCGAACACAAAAATGGCTACAACTCCGTCAATTTAACAGATATTGAGGTAAAATATTATGCTGAGAGTTAGTCACAACAAACTTTGAGAGCAACATCTCACAACATAGTGTGATGTTGAATTTTGTACATTGTTATATTCATGGCTTACTTTAAGAAATGCTAGAACTTTTGTGCAGGAAAATCTCAAAAGCTTCAAGGCGACTTAAGTTGTTCGAATTTGGCCGTTTATCACCGGTTCTTGCAACAAGCTGGTTGTGTTTGTGAAAACATTGGTTTTAAAACTCAAACTTCATTTATCTTACCAATACCACTTTACTTATAAAGTACCGTATTTTTCGGCCTATAAGTTGAGGTTTTTTGCATAATTTGCATGCATACGCCGAAACAACTTATTTATGGATTTTTTCCCATATTTATGAACCAATTTTTGGCTGAGATATGACTGTTTTCATTCATTCTGACTGAAAATATTGAACACTACCATTTTCAGAAGCAGTATGACATGCCGTTGTGTCATGTAATAGGTACAAGTGGCTATTAATGACACAATCGGTTTGCCATAGAAGCCACCTTCGTCCAGCTTGCCTGTAGCAACTGTCAAATCAGCTTCATTTTGTTGCGCCGCCCTGACGAAATGTAGCTAATTTGACAATTGAAGTGCATCTATTAAGTAAAAGTTCAACTGAGACGCACCTTTACTATAATGTTGAGTAAACAAACAATTGTTTTTAAGTGTTAATCTTGTTAAATTCTTGTTAAAGTGTTCTCGCGGCCGCCATTTGGCACTCTTTTGGCATGACACCGGCCCACATTTCTGGGTTGTCAGCAGTGACGCGTAACAAATGTGACGTGTCAGCGGTGACGCATAATAGATGCGACGTATACGGCGAAGCGACGTATTTATGGATTTTTCCACTTTTTTAAACAAATTTGGACTCATGCGACTTATTGGGCGGTGCGACGTGTACGGCGGAAAATACAGTTAACAAAAATGGCAACAAGGCCAACCAAAGTGCTGTACAATAAAATGAACAGGCAGAGGACACGGGATTAAAAAAAAACTTAAAATAAGAGAAGTAAAAAAAAAAGGAACAATTAGAACAACTAGATTATAAAAACACAAGATTAATATCAGCTCTCCCTGGGTTGAAGGACAGGGAATGAAAGTGTGTTTTAAAACAAGAATTAAAAACAGCAAGAGAGGGGGGCCTGTCTGACAAGCAGAGGTAACTCATTCCAAAGTCTTGGTCCTGCTACAGAGAAGACCCTGTCACCTCTGCGCTTAAGACGAGTTCCTGGAACTGTGAGAAGCAACTGGTCCGCTGACCTCGAGAATTAAATGAGAATTAAAAACAGCAAGAGAGGGGGGCCTGCCTAACACGCAGAGGCAAATCATTCCACAGTTTTGGACCAGCAACTGAAAACGCTCCATTGGGTCGTGAATGCTACTATCGAGAATCCCAGCCCTAAATTTAACAGGAATACGGCGCGTTACAGTTATGTACGTTATTCAGCGATCTTTAGCAACGGCCCAGACAAGCAAAGACCTTGTGTAGCATTTGACCTTGATTTGTGACCTTGACCTTGAAGCTGGGGTGATGGGTTGTATACGAGACATTCTGTTGAGTGATGATGCATGTGTATGAAGTTTCATTAAATTATGTTGAGCTGATCAGAAGTTATGGGGACAAGAGAAAGTTTATGGGCAAACAGAATGAGACTACCGTAATACGTCCGCCTTCAGGGGGGAGAAACCAAACATTATACAAAGGGATTTCCTGGTGTTACGGCAACCATCAGAGAAAAATGATATGTTTTGAAGGAAATTATCGGACTTATAAGACATATAATTATTTCTGAAAGCTTCCTGGTGAGAAAACTTTGATTCAAAGATAAGTTGGTGAGATTAGTTGTTGTTACGGCAAAAATCACTGTTAATGTTTTTTTCTATGCGGTCTCATTCCAACTCATTTTCCAGCAGATATATTTCTCAGTGTGAATATTGTCTTTGTTTTATTTGTTTCAATCTCCAGAGCACATGAGCCGTGAAGCGTCCAAGATTGAGCAGAAATGTGTCCAAAAGCCAAAACCTCGTGCAGCGAAGCCTTCGTTGACCGGCTTCATGGCCCTGATCGGGAGGCTGCTTTTCTACAAACCCGTTTGGACCACAGTGAAGCAGCACCGCAGCAACATCAGGTTCATTCACGTGCATTTTAGCGCTTGGCATTTCGCAGGCAGCGACCTGCTCTGGGCCGGGATCGCCATACGGCTGTTTCGTGCCATGCAGATGGAATTTGGGAAACTACAGCTCGCTCTGTACAGAGTGGCTCAACATGATGAAAAGGATGAAATCAAGAAGAAGGTGTGTGGGTTCTCTTCACAACGATTAATATTTATTTATTTTTTTTACATCTTACAGGCCTGTAACATTCACATCAAAAGGAAAATGTTCTTTATCAAAGAACTGAACTTTTACGGAAGCCCCTGAAATGCATCATGAGCTATCCAGGTTTTATTTTCTGTTATTTATTTGATTCAGCGTGAAACACACACGAACATCTGGAGACTTGTTCATTTGTGGAGGCCGTGTCACATTTTATCATTTCAAACCAACGGACTGAGGCAATTAAAAGGGCGATTTGAAAGAAAAAGAAGATATATTAATATATTTTTTAAAACGGATGATTATAAAGGTGGCCACAGACAAATATGACAAAAATAATTTCATTACTTGTTTAAGAATTTAAACCTCATTTAGCCTGTCTCCAACCCACATTAAAGATTTGATTCATAGGATGAATATGGAGTTTGATATTTAAGCTTTATATTGCTATATTAGCAATTCTATCTTAATTAGTGGAATATTAAATTCTAACACTATTCTTTTACACTCTCTATAATATTACTGAAGTCAACTAATTTATTATCAATAGTTAGCACAAACCAAAACACATGTTTGTTCTCTTTAGTATGGAAGAAGTAAGTTTCAGACGTTAAATAGAAAGTTTAGACTTTGTGAAGTGGGGCTGTACGCAGCACTTCTGAGGATCTTGCAGGCGCTCAAAACAAAAGCCAAATAAAATCCTAAAGAAACTAAATCCACACAACTTTCTTATATCAGTGGTCAATGAGCGAAATAAATTTGTAGGTAAAAGTTGCGACATCTTCATCGTGGGTGTGTTTGTTTAAACAGACGAAGTGATTAAGGTCAGCGATGTTGACGTTTGTGGAAGAGTCGCTTTAAATGGAGGTCAGAGTTTTACAGATTAAAGCTTAGATTTGTCAATCAGAAGTTTGGAAAAAGCTGATTTTGTATTCTAAGCTCTGTCTTCACCTCCCTGCTTGATTCCCCGATATTTATTCTCGACAGCTCTCCTCCATCTTTCTTTCTCCTTTTGCATTTAGCAGCAGGTTCACTCTCATATTTCCACCTAAACATCCTCTCAGACACTCTACGCGGGTCCAGTTCGGTCATTTTTGTTCACCTGTACAGATTAGGGTCAGCTTACTGCAGGTCAGTCACGTGGCTTGAACGTCCACGTAGCTTCCAGCAGATTTAGCCGAGTGTTGTGCTTACATTGAGTGCAAACCAGCATTTAAACATTGCATATTAATATACCGGTAACTGGAAAACTACTGGTGTAAACTTTCAAACTGAGGAAATTCGTAATGAGTACATTTAAACTGCAGTATAAAACCATCAGTGATTTTAGATTAAAAGATTGGGGAGGGAATATTCCTGGATGAATCGGGTTAACTGGTCTATGAATGTAAATACTGTATTTTCTGGACTATAAGGCGCACTTAAAATCCTTTAATTTTCTCAAAAATCGACAGTGAGCCTTATAACCCAGTGCGCCTTACGTATTAATTCTAATTGTGCTTAGTGACCTCGAACTGATTTTATGTGGTACAACTGAACAATGTTGAGAGTTATTGTGAATGAGTTGAACAAAGTTTGGCTTATCTGACTGTTTTGCAGTGGCGGACAAAGTACTCAACTCTAGTACTTACAGTAAGTAAAAGTATTGATACTCTTGGTCAAATTTACTCAACTACAAGTAAAAGTTGCTTGGTCAAAAGTTCACTCAAGTTAAAGTACTGAAGTACTTTTGAAAATATTTAAGTATTCAAAAGTACATAATATATTTTCTAATATCAGTACATTGGTGTATCGAGTGATTTTACAGAACCTTGTAACTGAAACCACCTGATGGTTTCTTACACTGAAGCCATTGCTTTGTGTCTGTCAGTGACTCTTCAGTAATGGCAGATAACATTAAACTCAGGAAGGTGGCAATGTAGAACCACTCTTCTACAAGACAACACCACGTGCCTTAAAAAAAAAAACCTGTAAACCACAAATAATATCTTCCACGTATTTTACATGTCTGTGGAGTCTTGGAAATCCTAACAGATGATGCATTTAGTCTTTTTCCTCAGCTTTAGTATTCATACACGGCATTGTGTATGTGTAAAAGTGCATATGTTGACAGCAACAACTTAACACAGGAAACAGTAACGCTGATAACTGGAAGTTCTACTTAACATAGAAGCTTACATAACAATGAATGTTCTGCACAGATGAATCTAGCCAACAACTGGCCAACTGCATTTCAGGAAAGAAAAATAGCAACAGCGGGTTACAAAGCTGAGCCGAAAGGAACGAGAAGCTTCCTAGAAATGTAGTGGAGTCAAAAGTACAATATTTGTCTTTGAAATGTAGCGTAGTGAAAGTCATGGGTTCCCAAAAACACAAATACTCAAGTAAAGATACTCAGAAAGTGTACTTAAGTACAGTACTTGAGTAAATGTGCTCTGTTACTGTCCACCACTGTTTTTGTTTCGCTCAATGCGCCTTATAAGCCGAAAAATACGGTAGTCTGATGCTAACGTTAGATATCGCCAGCATCGTAAGGATTCAGGCTTTAAACACACTAAATTATCAATTTATACCTGCTGTTTGTTCAGTTTAAAACTAAAGGAGCACGTAGATAATTGTAGATTTCTAAAGGTGTCTAAACTCATCCTCATTGCATCTGTCTTTTTAATTTCCAGGTTGTTAAAAGTTCTCCAAATGAGTGGAGTTCCAAAAAGATTTGCTGTTTGCCCCTGTGGTTGTTCATCCTGTCCATCCTGGTGATCCCAGTCGTCCTCCTGGTGGTGTGGATTTATGGTCTTCCTAAATCTGAAGTAAAACCAGAACCGGGGTCAAACAGTACAAATGGTGGAACGGAAAATGACAGGATCAGCGGGGTGAATGTGCTGGAGAGCCTCCTCATTGCCTCGTTAGGACTCCCTGCAGCGAGTGCGCTGAGGTTTACCTTTCAGATGGGTAAGAACCTCATCTTCAGCCAGGAACTGAATATAAGGAGGGGAATGGACAACGACAGGATCAGCAGCCAGCTGGGATTCATGAACGAGGTCAGGAAGGAAATGTGGTTCCTGTCTCAATTCATCCAGTTCATGGAGGTTTTCGAAAGGAGGAGGATTCGTGTCGTGTTGAAAATCACCAGTCTGGACCGTTGCTCCCCCAGGAATATCGTGGCAGTCCTGGAAGCCATCAACATCCTGCTGTCAGATGACGAGAGCCCGTTTCTTTCGATCCTGGCTGTAAATCCAAGCATTCTGCTGGAGAAAGTGAACTCTGCAGACGGCTGCATCTGCAGGGAGGACAGAGCTTACGCACTGCTGAACCGCATCGTCACTCTGGCCTTCACTGTCCCACCGCTGTGCGAAGATTTAAAGCGTGATTTGTTTTACAGCCTCATTGGCAGCTCAAGAATCTCAGAGGAGTCCTCCTTTATGGGTGGCGCACAGAGAAACAAGACATCTTCCTCTGATCTGGCTTTAGTGGAGGTGAACGAATCCAAACCGCTGATGGATCGAAGTTCAGCTGCAGCAGATGAGCAGGAGAAGAAAATGGAAACACTGGTTTGGAGAATCCTGAGCAGCAGTGAGAAGAAACTGAACAAATACATGTCAGACGACACGCTCTCCATGAAAAGGACGATCAACTCTGTTTGGGTAACGCTGATCATCATGAAGGCCCTGAAGAGGGAGCTTCCTAACCCAGAGACCATCCCAGCGTGGGTGGTCTTGGCCAATCAGTGGCCTTGTCGTCTCAGCTGGATCATCCAGTGCGTGGAGGACGCCAATCAAAGGGCGGCTATCGATCAGAAGCATTCGAGCATCGATCCTTCAAAGACCTTGTGGGAAGTCTTCAGCGAGTCCCGGGAGGAGCTGTACGTGATGCGCGCACACATCGAGGATCTCCTGGAGCAGGACGGAGACCCTGAACTTTTTGAAGAACTACTCAGAGATGAAGGTTTCGAGTTCACTTTAAACAACTTGGAGATATTCCAGGAGGCAACGGTGAACATGGATCAGTCCATCAGGAGGGAGCTGGCTCTGATCAGGGGGATGTCCAGGCTGAAGGATTCTGGTTGGATCAGGAACATCGCACCCCTGCCCATCACAGCTCTCATCAAAATGAGCACAGCTGATGTGTGCAAAGAGGTAAGGGCTTATTTAATGTTCTGAACTTCAAGAGCTGGTTAAATACTAAACAGTTCTGTGGTTAGGTACCACATTAGTGTGTGTTCTGGACATATTTTAATGTGGAAGGATGAGAATGCATATCACCCTCCACCAGTCGTGGCATCTTTATCTTATGTTGAGATAGGACTCTGCTAAGGTCAAACCTTCTAAATCAGTGGTGTCCAGTCCTGGTCTTGCAGGGCCACTATCCTGCATGCTTTAGTGGTTTCTCTGCTCCTCAGCAGGTCTTCCAGCTCTTCAGAAGCCTGGTTCATTCAACTCAGATGTGCCAAAGATGAGAGGCAGGATCGTGGCCCTCGAGGACCAGCATTCAACACCACTGATCTAAATGAAGTTAAGCACGATCTGCTAGAAGTCAAGAGAAGGTTGAGGATAGCTCTCAGCTACTACCACACTAAACTTTAGCTCTGCATCTGGAAAACTGACTGACTTACAACTATGTTTGTGTTTGCTTAGGTAGCCTAGTTGTAGCAGCCATCTTCAATGAGGCTGACTCCGAAGAGTAATCAGGTTTAGGTGTAAATCCAGGGCTTAATTTGTAAACCGATCAATGCCGGAACGCAAATAGTGGGCGAGACGGTGGGTCCTCCCCCAGAAATTTTTGAATAAAATAGATGTGATTTCCTGCATTTTGGTGTATTTTAACAGGTTGTTAAACATCTACGTTTACCTACATTTGTAAACACTCCGCTTCTGTCAAGCAGAACTTTCTCCCTAAAAATAGAATCAGAATCAGAATAAAACTTTATTATCATTGCACCGAGATATGAGAACATGTACATGCAGTCGTCTGAAAGATGGGCGGAGTGCACAAAGCTGCTGCCATAAAAAGCGCGGCCTTCATATTCTTATTCAGAATAATATTTTGCTTGGATGAGAAAAGGGAAGAAAAACATGAGAGACGGTATTAAAAAAAGATCTCTCACTCCATGTCCTAGACGAGGCACGATTTGAGGCATCAAAAAATCCTACCACAGCAAAGCAACATAAACGGACGTTATGCATGTATATACAGTGCCTTGCAAAAGTTTTCGGCCCCCTTAAACTTTTCAACCTTTTGCCACATTTCAGGCTTCAAACATAAAGATATAAAATTTTAATTTTTTGTGAAGAATCAACAACAAGTGGGACACAATCATGAAGTGGAATGAAATTTATTGGATGTGTCAAACTTTTTTAACAAATAAAAAACTGAAAAGTGGGGCGTGCAATATTATTGGGCCTCCTTGCGTTAATACTTTGTAGTGCCGCCTTTTGCTGCAGCTCCAGCTGCAAGTCTCTTGGGGTTTGTCTCTATCAGTTTTGCACATGGAGAGACTGAAATTCTGCCCATTCTTCCTGCAAAACAACTCGAGCTCAGTGAGGTTGGATGGAGAGCGTTTGTGAACAGCAGTCTTCAGCTCTTTCCACAGATTCTCGATTGGATTCAGGTCTGGACTTTGACTTGGCCACTCCAACACTTGGATACGTTTATCTTCCAACAAGACAATGATCCAAAACATAAAGCCAAATCTACAATGGAATGGTTCACAAATAAAGCTCCGTCCCAGTCTCAGGTCTCTTGCAGACTCAAACAGGTTTTCTTCCAGAATGGTCCTGTATTTGGCCCCATAAATCTTCCCATCAATTCGGACCATCTTCCCTGTCCCTGCTGACAAAAAGTAGGCCCAAACCATGATGCTGCTACCGCCATGTTTGACAGTGGGGATGGTGTGTTCAGGGAGATGAGCTGTGTTGCTTTTACGCCAAACATATTGTTTTGCATTGTGGCCAAACAGTTTGATTTTGGTTTCATGTGACCAGAGCACCTTCTTCCACATGTTTGGTGTGTCTCCCAGGTGCTTGTGGGTAACTTTAAACAACACTTTTTATGGATATCTTTGAGAAATGGCTTTCTTCTTGCCACTCTTCCATAAAGGCCAGATTTGTGCAGTGTACGACTGATTGTTGTCCTATGGACAGACTCTCCCACCTCAGCTGTAGATCTCTGCAGTTCATCCAGAGTGATCATGGGCCTCTTGGCTGCATCTCTGATCAGTCTTCTCCTTGTTCCAGATGAAAGTTTAGAGGGACGGCCGGGTCTTGGTAGATTTGCAGGGGTCTGATACTCCTTCCATTTCAATATGATTGCTTGCACAGTGCTCCTTGGGATGTTTAAAGTTTGGGAAATCTTTTTTTATCCAAATCCATCTTTAAACTTCTCCACAACAGTATCTCGGACGTGCCTGGTGTGTTCCTTGGTCTTCATGATGCTCTCTGCGCTTTGAACAGAACCCTGAGACTATCACAGAGCAGGTGCATTTATACAGAGACTTGATTACACACAGGTGGATTCTATTTATCATCATCAGTCATTTGGGACAACACTGGATCATTCATAGATCCTCACTGAACTTCTGGAGTGAGTTTGCTGCTCTGAAAGTAAAGGGGCCCAATAATATTGCAACCCCCACTTTTCAGTTTTTTATTTGTTAAAAAAGTTTGACACATCCAATAAATTACATTCCACTTCACGATTGTGTCCCACTTGTTGTTGATTCTTCACAAAAAAATACAATTTTATATCTTTGTTTGAAGCCTGAAATGTGGCAAAAGGTTGAAAAGTTCAAGGGGGCCAAATACTTTCGCAAGGCACTGTATATATTCCTCTGATGGAACTCCAAAACAGCCGAATTGATCCTTTACGTCAAAAGTCGAGCTCACAGCTTCTCCAAGATTATTCCCACCATTCATGAGTGCTGCTAGAGAGTTCACAGTCCTGATAAGAGCTGCACCAGCTCTCTGATGCAGCTCCACATAATTCAGTTTGAGTGCTGTCAAGCTTCGACACATCCACACAAATTTATAGACGATCCAGAATTCACCAGCCAAACAGCAAAACAAAAACCAGTTGTCATGAATCCAATTTGTTTCCATCGATAAGAGGGTCCTCCTTACCCTGACACCTGTTGGGAGAAGTTAAAAACACTTTTGTTGAGAGACCAGCTGAACCTTTGACTTAGGAAGGTATGAAGTAAAAAAAAAAAAAGAGGCTCTAAGGGTTCACAGGACGAAAGAGTGCGGGGGGGAGACACATCTGGCTTCACCAGAGAACAGAGAGAAAAATAATAATAATTTGATAAATGCATTTCAATATGGTTTTAACAGTTTGTAGTTATGTTGTTTTGACCAAAAAACAAAATAGACTGACTCCCTAAACTGATTCAAGTCAAAAATTCTGACTTTTACTTTATTTTTTCTGAACAATTTACTTGTTAAACATGATAACAATATCATGGACTCAGTAATCCTCCATTTGTTTGATTTTCTTCTTCTCAGATGGAGAGAATGGAATATGACACCAAGTACATCAACATAGTGAAGGAACATATGCTCGACGGCTCTGCTCTGGTTTTTGGTGACATAGATGACCTCAAAGCCCTCCTGGGTATGACATTTGGTGAATGGGCGACGTTCAGACTGCACTTCTTGAGTTTACCACCACATCTCCGACAAACGTACAAGAACAAGTTCCCACCATCTGGTTATTCGAAGAACCAGCTGTCAAGATTCCTTCAACACATCCCCAGTCATTACTCGTCTAGTTCCAGTCTGGGTAACAGCTGCATTTAGCAATCCCGACCATCAACTTTCACGTTATCAAAAACTGAGACGCAGAGAGAGCAGGTCCAGGAAGGAAACCCAGACTTGGCTACTCTAAATTAATCTCCCAGGATGATCCAAGGGGAGATGGAGATTATAAATCACTTTTGGCCAACGTGCCCCCAGATTCAAAGGCTTTTGTAATCCCTTCAGCGATGACAGTTTTGAGGAAACTCAAATGGTAACATTTACTTTGTTGGAGTTAAACGACATATCCTGATCAACAATCACACCAAGGTTCTTTGCATCAGTAACGGAGGACAAGGTAAAACCCTCCAGAGGAAGTGAATGCCTAAAAACCTTTTTAGACAAGTCTAAAAACCACGTCTCATCTGAACAAGACTCCAAGATAAATAAACTCCTCCGCTCGAGGCAGAGACTCGCCCTCCACCTTTCTCCCGTCTTATTATCCTGTGTACATCCAATTAAACAAACAATTCAAAAGATATTGTTAAAATAAAGCATTAAATGAATAAGCATTACTTTTAGCGGTTTTCTTTAATCCCTGCTGAAGTCAAACTCTTGTTTTGTTCCCTCACCTGCACATTTTACATATTTCCTAAAGGCTTTAGGGCATTTTGGCACGTCATGCATTCTCACTTCACCCTCGGTGAACTCCACAAGACTTCATGAAGCCAAACTTTGCATTAAGCCCAAAATAACAACAAATGCAGCCTCAGACCTCAGCTGCTTCTTGTTGGGGACAACTTCCAGTTTAAGTACTTAAATTGTTAAAAGCTCCGGTCTCCAGAGTTTTGCACTCAGTTGGTTTAAAGGTTAAATAAAGTCAAATCATGACGGAGATCGTTGACTCCCCTCTTTCCATTCTTTCTGGATCTCTGCCAGATTCTGGAATCTTCTGTTTGATAATCCGCTGAAGCCCACGGTAATCTCTTTTACTGGTGTATCTTCTCCTGCCACATTTTGCCCTTCCACTAGACTTTCCATTGAGATGCTTGGACACAGCGCTCTGTGAACAGCCAGCCTCCTTAGCGAAGAACTTTTGTGGCTTACCCATCCTATGGAGGGTATCAATGATGGTCTTCTGGCCAGTTATGTCTGCAGTCTTCCCCATAATGAACTGAACTGAGATAATTGAACCAAACTGCAGTAATTTAATGACACCTGGGGAAACCTGTGCAGGTGCTTTGAGTTTAGTAGATGATCAATGTGTCACACTCAGTTTAAAACATTCATGCCCTGAAACATTTGGCCTGATTTCTTCACAGTATTCTAATTTTTTGAAATCCTGTTTTTGTGGGTTTCATGAGCTGGAAGCCCAAATTATGTAAAAAAAAATAAACAAATACTTGAAATTGTGGGCCCTGAATCTATCATCTATTAAAGATTAACTTTTTGAACAGAATTATGGAAGTTAAACAACTTTTCCATGATATTCTAATTTTTTGCAAAGGATCTGTTTACATTAGTATTAAAATTTTTTCTAGCATCAAATCGGCTAAAAAATTTGAAAAAAAAAAGTCAAATCACTAGAACCAATCACTAGAACATTCAAATGTAATTCTCTGTTCAAAGATGACTAATTGCACGTGAAGTTTATAGGAAATATGTTCAGTTTTTAGGTAAACTGAGAAGCGATTGAGACTTGAGCTGCCATGAACTGGAAAGCCAGTTCTAATAGATTTAAAATATTCTTACGTGGACCGGATAAAAATTGCAACGAGGGCCGGATCTGGCCCTCGGGCCTTGAGTTTGACGAATGGGATTTAAAGAAATTACCTCCTGGTATTGTTTAAAAGCAAATCGCACCACTTTTAAAAACATTTACACAAGAAGTTAGGTGAATATCTACGCATCGTGCACCACAATGTGACCTGACAAGAGGCCAGATCACCGTGCGTTATGATGTTTAACTACAACCTCTAAAACCTGAACATAATCACGATGCACTTTGTGTTGCTGCAATGAAATATCAGTCAATACCAGACGTTTATGCTCCAACTCCTTCACCGACTCAACTTTCCAGAGCATTAACTTATTGGTGAAGCTGTTAAAAAAAACCAACAATCATTTTAAGAGCTTGGCCAGACGTTCAGATAACGATTAAAAAAAAGAAAAAACTCAATGTGGTTTGAACACTAATACTTTATTGATCATTCATCATGAAGCTGAACTCCGGATACATGATGGAGTAAACTGTAATTCTCCGATTCTTGCTGGTCGATAAAATGCAAGAAAAAAAAAAAAGTGAATGTAAACCGTTTTAGAGTAATAAAACAAGGCTAATCGAAGCAATTCTATTTTTTGTACGAGGCCCTTATAAAAATTAAAAAAAAAGTTCACAAACAGCTGGAGTAATGTGCTGACTCGTAGAGACATTTTCGCATCAAAGCATCCTCGTGTTAAATTAGCAGCTGGAAATTAATTCAATCAGGATCCTTTTGAACCGTTTTCCTGAGAAAAGCGAACAATTATTACAATTTACAATTATTAAACATCCAGAAATCACAAAAAATGCCTTTTTATAAGGGCTCGCTTTGAAATTCAAGACAAGGATTTGTGAGGGTTTAAGAACACTTCCTCCCAAATCAAGTCTGCTTGTAATTCTGCAGGACCATTGCAACATATTATACATAGTCATGTCATTTAATTACACTTTTATATTTCTGTATGCATCATGAGGACTTTTAGCTAAACTAAAACTTTCTTACAATAAAAATGAACTTATAGGTTTTATGCATTTAGTGGTTGCAATCACTCCGAGGTATGAATGATAATAAAAAATCTGCATTCAGTAGATACTTTGATAAATAAGGCAGTACTGATTTAAACCATTATCTCCGTTGCTACTCTCATTATAATCAAGGCACAGCTGCTTTTAGGAACTAAAATAAACTTTTTTTTTTTTTTATGATTATACAAGTTGTACAAATAAAAGTGAACACACTGGTGGTAGAGGAAGCATTAAGTTGATATTGTCAGTGTTTTCAAGTGGAAAAACAATAAACACAATTAGACAGAATAATAAAATAAAATGTATAACAACACAAAAAAAGGTTGTGTTCGTGAGAAGACCACAGAGAGGTTTAGTGAAAACTCAAAGTTTAAGAAAACTGGGTTTTTATTCCAGAAAGGAGTGCGAGTGATGCTCCGAGTCTTATCACCATGGTAACAGACTATGAAGCTAACCTGCTTTCTGGCAGGTTTACCTCAATCAGACTTTCTGCTGGTCTCCCCCCACCTGAAGCAAACCGTCCAACTTGTTTATTTTTAAACAATCCGACTGACTGGAAGCAGAATTACTTCATACTGTCAGGTGTCAAAGACAGGATTTCCTAAATGGACTTGCTCTCACTCCCACATGTTTCTTTCATCAGATTCACTCGTTTATCTCAGTAAAATTCCCCAACAGAGCACGTCCAGTGGAACACATCGGATGTGCGCTCTCATCAGAACAAAGTCTGTTCATTTAAGGATTTAAAAATAATAATAACAAAATAAGGGCAAATAATTCACATTTCTTCTGTCTTCTCTAATTTACCTGCGAGCCTGCAAACGCAGCGGATTGAATTTAAAATATTTATCCCACGATAAATCTGCCGTCTGTGAAAACTGACCCACCTTAACTGGAGTTCAAACAGCATTTATGGGCCAAAATAATAATAGAACTCAGACGGATTTAATAACTGTGGTTCATTAGTGTGTAGCAGTCAAGTAGGAAAGTCAAATGTATCTTTTTACACTTTACATAAATCAAAGCATCATTACAAAAATGAACCTTGTTAAAACTGTCATCACCCATCCTTTTGTTTTATTAAGGCAATTTCTGTAATGATGCATAACTATAAAACCAGCTTGTACAGCAGTTTTGAGAATCTTGTTTTATAGAAGCATTTTCCTGAAAACATTTTTTCCAATATTTAACATTTTTAGAGGAATGTGGCCCATTTAATTTTTCTTGATATAAATGCTTATAATGATTTAAAACTACCCACATAAACAAAAGCTCTGGGAGAGACTAAAGACCTTCGTTGAGCTGTGACATCATCAGTGTGCGCCTCATTTTCAGCCAACAGCCTAACTCGTTTTTTTTTTTTTAAGTAGTAGTATTTAAAATTGAAGTATCAGCGCTCCAATGAGGATGGCTTTTTATGGGGGGCATCTGAACGGTCTTGACTCGAAGTAATGAAACTCTAAATTATCCAACTTCATTATAATCAGCCATTCTGGAACTGAAAACCCAGACGTACCTTTTGGGGTAAATTAACTCTAAACTTATGAATAAACTCAGTTAGTTGAACGTGCAATCTGGAATCCCCCCGCCTGTCAGTCTATTTATGTTTGCAGAATGGTTTCTATATATGTTTTTTTTTTTTTTTAAAGGAGTGATTGATGTCTTTGGACAAACACGTCACCAGAAGGAAAGACTCGACCTAAAAACTTTAAAACTACTGAAATGTCCTCCCTCAGCTTCTGCAGACTGTTTGCTCTGCAGAACTCCACCTGAAATGTTTACCGTCATAAACAGCTGGAGCTCATCCAGGTGATCGTCCCGATGAGGATCAATTACGTGCCAGCGACTCGGCCAACTTCTTCAGCCTTTTCTTGAGCTCAAGAGGAAACTTCTCATAACACTTTTTGCAAACAGGCTTCATGTCAAATTCAACAAACTTGTTCCTGCAGAAAGGGAGGGGGGAACAAAAACAATGTGGGTGTCAAGCTGCTGCTGGGTCACCACCTTTCACCCAGCTCTTCTGTCCTTTTAAAAAGGTCCCAACAACTCATTTCAACCTACGTGCATTAATGCTCACAAGTTCATGGATTCATGCCACAGCATAAAACAACTGAATGAAGTTTGGTTTTAGTGAAGAGACAAAGGCATGCTAGAGACAAGACAACACCACAGGAATGGAAGGAGGTGGTGAGTAACTTCAGCTACAGACAGACAGCAGGCTGCTTCTTGCGATCTTTGGCTTCGCGCTCACGTCGAGCCAGGCGGCGTTTCAGCTCCTCGGGTATGCGCTCATAGCAGTGCTTGCACACTGGCCTCAGGTCAATTTCAACAAACTTATCTCCGAGTTACCGTAGACGCAGCAAGTGAGGCGTGTAAAAAAAAAAAAAGAGAGATTGAAAGAAAAGAGAGAGCCAGAGAGGTAAGAAGCCTGAAAACACACATTCAGGAAGTGTTAAGACAAAAGAGAGATGACGACAACCATAGCTTCAAAGAAATGGACGTGATGAGGTTTTAATTTTTTAAGATACAGTCAACCCACTGAAAATGAATTTGTTCAAACACACTTTGTATGTAGACCCATTTTTTCCCCATTAAAAAGCACAATCGCTGTAATGTTCAGCATAAAGGAAGAATTATTCCTCCCTAAAACCTTGCTGGAAGCAAGTATTGTATGGTGAAATATTAATATAAAAATTAGGGATGCACGATATTGGATTTTAGGCCGATATCTGATATGTTAAAACTTATATGGCCAATAACAGATACCGATATTTTTAATATACTTTCCTTTGTCAGAACATAGCCCTCTTATTTAGGCTTATTTGATACAAAAACTGTGCAACAGCTGTAAGAACTGGTGACATGTACTCAGTAACAGCCATATGATATGCACAGCACTTTAACTTATATCAAACAAAAAGTGTTAAATGTTATTTATTAGCATTAGTCACCTGTGATGCTGTCTCACTTGTGGAGGCTTGTTCCAGATTCCTCGCTGCAGTGTGGGATCCTCTGCACTCTTGTGCATGAAGGACAGACTTTTTAAGTTAAAAGATTTATCTCCATTGTGCCGTAAGACTAATCATGCTAACGGGGCTAACACTTGTCTGTGGTAAAACTCACCCAAGTGCTATCGGCTATTAGCTTCTCAATTATGTTGGAAATGACGGCTTGTACGTTACGTCGGGAAAATATCTCTGACTGGGGATGATGTAGCGAGGCTCAACGTAGTCCAAGAATCTTCGGAATACAACATCCTCAACGGAAAATAAAACTTTCACGCCGCCGACATTTTGACTTCTTCCTCTCCGCCGTGATCAAATCAAGTAGGCACGCGTGACGTCATCACAGCTGCAGGCATCCCTGTCACTGGGTTGTCATACAAAAACAGCGTCTTTTATATCGGCGAGTTATTTTGATGGAATGGCCAATGTCCGAAATTTAACTTAAACTAATATCGTCCGATTCCGATACCACGTCGAAAATATTGTGCATCCCTAAAAGAAATACATAAAATCAAACCAGTTTCTGTAAAACATCCATCTTTCTACATGTTTACTTCCATCTGTACTTGAAAATATGCTATAACATTCTGTATTCAAACAAAATCATACTCAGAGGGTCGACTGTAATTTTTAAAGATGCAAATCTACAATTTTACTTACTTGAGGGTGAGTTTGGTGTTGCAGGTGGAGCACGAGAAACATCCGACACACCAGGCTTTGTTAAGAGCAGACACGACTGAGGAGGTCGCACAAAAAAACAAAAATCAGACACATTCAAGTGCTGCATCTCAAAGCAACACTGTGTAAGCTACTGAAGTGTAAAACACACCAACTGTGTGCTCTGTCGCATCGATACTCACCATCACCTTCAATCACACGGTTGCAGTGATAGCAGACGTCGCCAAAAAGCTTGACAGCAGAAGAACGAGAAGATTAGGCATCAATTCAGCCACTAAATTCCTCTAATCGGTACCTCACCAATATTGTAACAGCAGCCGTGTCAACCAAAACGGACTTCTTACCTGGTTGTAGTGAGTCTCACAGTAAGCCAAACCTTTCCTCTCATAATGGCGATGACCCAGGAAAGGCTTCTCACACTTGGCACACACAAAATGCTGTCAACAGAGAAAACAAGCTGCTAAGAGGATGACGCGTCTCTAATAAAAGCCGAACAGGGACTTGTAAAACCTGCCTCAGAGCCCGTCCAAACAGAATATGAAATACTGAACCATGGCTGATGTCTACTTAAAAATTATCTAAAGTTACAAATCTAAAAAAGCATGTTGCAGATGTGAATCAAATGTATAATCTTTTAAAGTTTGACATTTACTTGAGATTTTCCATCATATTTATTAGCCTCCAGTGCAATAGAGAAACACTCAGGAAACCAGAATCGTTTTAATGAAATTTGGTTTTGAATAAAAACACCGGGCAGCAAGCTTGTGGTAAGAAGCAGCTAGACCAGGGGTCTGCAACCTTTGCAACAAAAAAAAGCCATTTTTGCCACTTTGCTTACGAATTATGACGTGTCTGGAGCTGTAAAACCTGTAAAACCTGCTCCAACTGTTTACTGTCAACTGGTGGCCCATGGGCCACTCCAAGTTTGTTTGGAGGTGGCTTTTCTGGCCAGTGGAACGAAAAATGTCTAACTATTATTAACATTTCTTGATATTTTTACATTTTATTACAAAATTAAAGACCAGATTCATGTAAAGAAAGAAAAAAATATATAATTTTTAACTATTTTATAAAAATTCAAACACTGAACTCTCCAGGCTTATGCGAGTTCTGTTGAAGAATTAAGTATCCAACTTAAAGCATAAAGCTAAAGTCTAACATTAGGCCAGTTTGTTGGATATACAGTTACATTTTTAAAGAAAAAAAAAAGTTTTGCTTAATTTGACTTTGTTTTGTGTTTTATTAGTGTTATCAAATATTCCTTCTCAGCAACTTGTCTTAAAGATATTCCAAAACATTCTGGTGGGTTCGAGGGAAAGATCACGCTGTGAGACTGGACGTTGACTTAAAGTGGCTAACAAGCTACTAGCATGATGTAGTCCACGTTTTATGCCTGGTATTTATACCATCCTTCACATTTTTGAAAACGACAGGAAATATGATAAAACTGGCCATTTTCATTGTTGGCAATAATTTAAATAAAATTCAGTTTTATTATAATTTTGGTCACTGCCTGAAAGAGCCGCTGCAGACGGACCAAAGAGCCACATGTGGCCCCAGAGCTGCAGGTTGCAGACACCTGATCTAGACTGAGGATTTTGTTTAAAAATAAAAATAAAAACTGTGAGTAACTGATTATTACTTTTTGTTTTTTGCTCTGCCCTCATTTGGCACAGGAGTTTAGTTATTTTGGAACAAAACCTCAAATGCATAAAACAACTACTTGCTCTCTAAAACCCTTAAATAAACTAGGTGCGCATACAAACCTTCACAAAGATCTTGTGCAGCCATGAAAAATAAAGACAGACCAGCTTGTGTCTCTATCCTCATGTTTGTAATAAAATATACAACGTATGCAGAGCAGTCGTTCAAATTTTAGCCAAAGATAAATCTGGACACGAGTTTACTTTTCTAGTTTATCAGAAGAATCCTTGAAGTAACTAAATCCATTTTAGTGTCTTTAGCATTAAACTGCCTGCTGTAAACTGTTAATAGTCTAGAGCTTTTTGAAGAGTGTGAAACTGAGCAGCCTCCACTCGGATGAACAGATCTGCTGCGCTCAGCTTCAGGTGAATGAATCTGTTTTACAAGTGCTCAAGTCTGTATACCAACAGATATTAGCTCATTTACAATATTTTTTTACTCTCAAAGAGTCAGACTGCATGTCAAACAGTATATATTACCCAAGGTTGAAGCCTTTTTTTTTTAAACAAAGCAGGCTCATTAGTTATATTTAAATATGACATAAGAAAATGTGTTTTTTTTAGCTTGAGAGCTATTAGGATTTAAAAAGTACATAATTTCTCTATTTCAGAATAAAAATGTCCATCGGTTAAACGATTCACTTAAGAATTCATAGGGACCAATGATGATTTGCATGTACTTTGACCTTGACTTGGAAAAATACATTCCACTCATGAACTGGAAATACAAACTGCTGGTCTTCCAGGATCAATACCATATCCTTTGTTGCAAAGTAATTTGTGTTTCTGGGGTTATTTAGAGCACTTTGATTTCCACATGGCGGGTTAAAAGTTCAGCAGTTTAAAGACACACCCTGTGGGAAAAAAACTGTCCAATTCCTCTAAAAGAAAAGAGCTGACAAATAAATAGTAAATATGTACAGAGTCAGCTCACGGGAAAGTTAAAATAACCGTGTCAACTTGAGGGGGGAAAAAGGGTAAATTATGTCTCTTTTGATTTAAATAAGTACATAAAAATATTTCCTCTGAAGCAAGATTCTGTCACAAAAAAAAAAAAAACTTATCCAAGAAGTAGCCCCCTAATGTAGCATAGAGTAGGCTTCACTTTACAGAGTACTTTACAAAGGCAAGAATGCTAAACTATTTGGAGTGTAGTGACAAATGGCGACAAACCTCCACATGCCACTGTTTCCCCATGGCGTTGACAACACGCCCCTCTATAGGTCTCCTGCAGGCACCGCAGATTGGCACACCCATTTTGTCGTGGCACGGCAAACAGAAGAGCTCCCCCTTCAGTTCTCTTGCGTCGGCCGTCAACTCCTTCCTAGAAACATTAAACAGTCGAGTTACACAAACCAGGTGAAGCTAGCTTTAACGTTCAGGCTAAACTGGAAGAGACGGTGTTTTCTTGTGAGACTGACCCGCAGTTGCTGCAGTTGAAGTGGTCTGGGTGATACGGGTCGTTCTTAAAGATCAGCGGCTGCTCTTCAATGATGGCGTGGCACTTCTGGCAGATATATTTGCCCAAGCCTCGAGCTTTCTCACAGTTATGGCACGGGCGGCACAGGTGCCTGAAGGCAACAGTAAAATGGAAAAAAAAAAGTCAAGAAATTTTCACTATGGTTTTTGACACGATGAATCATAGCTGCATAAAATTCTATTATTTATTAGAAAGCAAAGCTCGGTGAGTAGAACCACCTCCTCTATAGGCTGCTAAAGTGTTTTTTAAAGACTGTCATGAGATGGGGTTACATACCTGCCAGCATTTTTAACAAATCCAACATCTGCAAGCACTGCCTGGCAAATGTCACAGCAGAAGCACTCGGGGTGCCAGCTGTTGTTCATGGCCTTAATGACACGTCCGATGATGAACTCCCCTAAGAATCAAACCATCAAAAGAAGTCGGGATGATAAGAGTCAGATTTCAGTGTTCAGGAGGAACAGATGCTGCTATCGATCAATATTTTTTAACTGAACAGGAATTTCTAACAAGTGCTTACACTTTGTCATTTAAAGAAACTGGTCCAGATGACACAATTTAACCTTTTTTGTTCTCATCTACCTGGATGACTGAGCTTTGCTTACACTTTTATTATATTTTTCCTCTTTGTGACATTCAACGAACAAACAAAGCACTTTATTAAAGCATGCCACTGGTGCAGAAAGAGAATTTTAGTTTGGGATTTGAAAAAAAAAAAAGGTGTTATTGTTCAACAGTTGCCTGAAGAAACGCCAGGGGATGCATCTTCTGGGTAATTTGTTTGGGTTTCTCTCCCTGACTCTGTGGTGAGAATGTGGTGATGAAGTGTCCAAAACTAAAGCAAAAAGTAAAGAACATGCCTTGGGGAGCCTGTCCACTGGTGACAAATTCTACACAAAAACTATAAACAGTTCCGAGTTGACAGACGGAGGTCTGATCTATCAAACGGCACAGGGATTTGAGGGATGCTTACATCTACACTGTTTTTTCTTTTAGAACATTATTTTATTTAACTTGTTGTAACTCACAGAGGAAGTATCCATACCTGACACAGCCCAGTGATTTTGTTACCCAGTACTTAAAGGCTAAGTACCTGGTATAAACCAGGTATATAACTGGTACTTATAGGGATCGGACAGTCTTATGAAGCATTAAAGCAACTTTAATGTTGCTACATGTTACAATAATTAATAAAAACAATTTCAGCTAAAAATTGTCCGTTTTTTTCTCACAACCTTGGTTTAGCGGGTTCTTAAAGTTAATTCTCAACACGTCATCTGGGGAACTTTTTTCTCGTGTGGTGTCCCAGAACTACTGTGTACTTGGTCAGAAGTTTGAAGTATGCATGGTTAATGTGAAAAAGCAGAAATGTTATTCAGGACTTCCCAGGAGTTCGAACGTCCTGGCCAGAACAAACTTTGCTTTTGGTCGTGACACCTCAAGAAAACAAAGCATTCGCTCGGCTCTTGTGGAGTACCGTTATGCAACGAGCTTTACAAGGTGCGTGACTTTTGGTAACAGCTAAGTAACAAGTGCACACCATACCCAGTGTGTTGGGCTGAGTTATCTATTAAAGTCAAAATGGTTTGTGAGTTTTGTCAAACGAGATAAACATAAAATGTTATAAGAATGCAGCTCAAAAGGCTTTGTGACATATATAACAGAATAAACCCATCACAGGGGTGGAGTGGGTCATCATATTGCGCTCAAAACTCCAAACCATAGAAGAAAATTTGACAATCACCATCAATATATATTTATATACAACAAGCCCCTCCTTTGGCTATATAACTAAGTGCAGATGTGATTAGAGTTTTGCATTTGTTTGGCAAGAATTAGAGTAAAAAGTCTAAACAATCCCATGAGCTTATTCAGCACTTACCACACTGATGGCAACAAGGAGCAAAGAGCATCTGGAAGTCATGTTCGCAATATTTTCTTCCTTCAAACTGTAAAATACAATAATCAAAATGTTTACAAAACAAAACAAAACAAAAAGAGTACCAGGGACACTGATATATGCATGCAAGTTGTGCACACACTAGGGATTACAGGTGTGTTGGTTTATAAAATTAAATACACATAAAAGTATACAGATGAGTAAGACAGAGTACATGTGTGTGAATGAGTGAGAGGCCGGTGGAGCAGTGAGGCTACAAGGAGCAGAGGTCACAAAGGTGCAGGACTTCAAGTACTCGGGGTCCACTGTCCAGGAAAATGGAGAGTGTGGTAAAGAGGTGAAGAAGAGAGTCCAGGCAGTGGATGGAGAAAAGTTTCTGGAGTGATTTGTGACAAAAGGGTGTCAGCAAAGGTCAAAGGAAAAGTTTACAAGACAGTGGTGAGACCAGCTATGTTGTATGGTCTGGAGACAGAGACATGGACAAAAAGACAGGAGACAGAACTGGAAGTGGCAGAAATGAAGACGTTGAGGTTCTCCTTAGGAGTGAGAAGGATTGATAAGATTAGGAATGAGATCATCAGAGGTGCAGCACAGGTTGAACAACTGGGAGATAAAGTTAGAGACCAGACTGAGATGGTTTGGACATGTCCAGATGAGGAACAGTGGTTTGGACATGTCCAGAGGAGGGGGACAGGACAGTGGGTAGATTGGTAGGAGGATGTTAGAAATGCAGCTGCCAGGAAAAAAGACAGAGGAAGGCCAAAAAGAAAATATATGGATGCAGTAAGAGAGGAGATGGAGGAGTGAGGACGGACAGAGGATGCAGAGGACAGAGTGAGATGGAGGAGGATGGCTCGCTGTGGAGACCCCTGAAAAAAGGAAACGCCCAAAAACAAAGAAGAAAAAGAAGAGGAGGGTACTACCTCATAGAAGAGCCCTTCTGGAAACTGCTGGAAACACTGGGCACACACGAAGCACTGCTCATGGTACAGCTCTCCATTACTATTGACAATCTTCTCAGTTGGACCAAAGCCACTCTTACATCGTTCACAGATTGCACTGGCCAGGGCATTCGCAATGCTGTAAGGACAATAAAATACATATTAGTATCCTATTCTTGAGGTTCAGACTCAAGGTTTTAGACTTTCTCTTGATTCTCTGAGACGTATTTAATGTCAAACCATCTCTGGATGGTTTAGATGGTTCCTAGAGTTTCCAAAAGCAGAATGGGAGGAAGGTCTTTCAGTTATCAGGCTCCTCTCTTTTTGAACCAACTTCCAGTTTCTGTCCGTGAGGCTGACAAATTGTCCAGTTTTAAGACTGGGCTTAAGACTTTCTTTTTTTATAAATCCTATAGTTGGGGTTGGTTTGTTGTGCTGCCATAGGCTTAGACTACTGGAGGCCAAATTGACCTAATTTACTTCCTTAAATGAATTGTTAAAATTGAATAGTTTTCATTTGATACTATTTCTTTCTTAACATGTGATTCTCAACCCATCTGTTCCTCTCAAACCCAGCCGGTCGAAGCAGACGGCCGCTTGTCCTGAGCCTGGTTCTGCTTAAGGTTTATTCCTTTCCACTGTCGCCTTCATGCTTGCTCAAGATGAGAGTTATATTCAAAGAAGTCTGCTCCTCAAGATAAATTTATTTATTTATTTATTTATTTATTTATTTATTTATTTATTTAAATAGATAGATAGATAGATAGATAGATAGATAGATAGATAGATAGATA